GCATGTCTTGAGCCTGTTTCCGCCCGCGGCCATTTGATAGATCTTGACCCAACTTCGTTTTACGCTTTTGGTCCGGCGAAAAGCCTTGCGTTCTGACCGCCATTCGCTGCCGGCGGTTGTCCACAAAGTGAAACCTGACGGCGGGCGATGGAAGCAGAGTGCTATTTTCGGAACTGTTTTGATACCCGTGTTTGATATCCTCCATGGAATAAAGCCTTTAAAATGGACGTACTCGAGTACCAACACCCCATGTCATTTTATAGGGGAGGGCTTGCTATAAAATGATGTGTCGACCTGGAAGCTTGTGGCCAGAATCATGTGGGCCGCACATAGATAGAGGTCTGGATGTTTTGACATTTGATTTTATAGGACCTGGGCAAAATAAAGGTAAAACATGGTAAAACTACTTCAAACCTAGATCATATTTTACGTCTTCTGGGCGCCCTAGATGTTGAGACTTGATTTTATAGAGATTTACTGATTCATGTCGAGTCTTCATTTTATAGTGGAGAGATTGCTTGCTGGATGTTGGGGCAGGCCATCTATACCTATAAAATCGCGTTCCCAAGACCTACCGGTAATTCCATCAGGGATTGTTTGATTGCCTTGCAGCGGCACCAGGCAAGCGATGTATCTACCAGTGCGACAGAGAGCGCTGGTGAAGAGTCCGCAGAGGCGGAACGCGCCTGAGGTCAAAGATGCTTTGCCAACAGATAAACCGTTGTTTTCTTGAGGCTGGAAAGGTAAGGTCCTTCTTGCCTTCGGCTTTTGCTCCTGTGATCAATTACATCTGGCCAGTTGACAGTTTGTGAGTGATATGTTTGGAGGCTAAAACTCTGTCTGATGAGTTCGGCGAGGCGAGTTTCGCTCTTCAGGCCCCAGGCGGGCCGCCTGAGCCGGTGGCATTGCCAGCTGTGGTGCCTTCGGCGTAAGGAATTTGGCTCTGGGAAAGCGTCGTGATCTCCCTCCATGATGGGGTCAACGGGCTAACCTCCTTTTCTTGGGGTCTACATGACATGTTTGCTAGACGTAGTTAGATAGACCCTTCATAATGTCAACCGAAACCCTTTCTACAATTCATCATTTAACCATTCCCAGTGGCTTCCAGAGGTTTGCTCGTCGTTTGGGTGCGCTGTTGAACCCACCTTGATGGACCGCCTAGGTGGTGGCCCGCCGCCGGTGGGCGGATCTGGCGGACGATGAAAGCGATGGTGCCTTGACCAAAGTGGGTGGAAAAAGGTTTTGGTTTGAGTGAGGAGGATGCCATTGGTCCCACGGTTTCAGGGTTCGATGTGAGGAAACCAGAAACCATGTCCATGGGACTGTCACTCAAGTAAGCCAACATCTTGCTGGCTTGCAGTTTTGATCAACACGGAAAACACTCGGGCTGTGGCATTTTGTGCTTCTGCATGCAGGGGTCTTCGTACGCAGAAACGTTAGGTGTAGCAAAATTTTTAGACGTTACCCACTGAAGTGCATAACCCACCGACCGAGAAAAAAGGCCAAATCCTTGACTTCCTCACTTACTGTGTTTCATCAGTCTCATCCCAAATCCCAATGGCGGTGTGACAGCGTTGGAAGAGTCATTTGTAGAGTTCTGAGGTTTTTCATTCTTCAAGCCCTATTGGCTGGCACCCCACCTTCTGGTCACCTTCTTGCCACTGAGGAGATTTGTGGTAACCTTTCTTGCTGGTGTGCGGCATTTTGGCTGCAGAGCGTGATCAGGGTTGATGCGAGTGTCCAAATTGTTACTCGTACCAGAAAAGCATGAACACGCTGTCAGGACTTTTCCTGGCGCTTTTTCAATCAACGGCTGCTGTCAAACACTAGCAGACTTGTGCATTGGGTGAGCCATCGTGAATGCTTCAAAGTAAAAGATGAAACTGTGTGCCTCACATTGCCACGCATCGTGCAAGACTTCCTCCAGGTGTGCAATGTCTGTGCCAAACACTGGTACGCCAGCAGTCTGGGGGCCCGGCTGCGATCGTGGACATACTCTTCTACTGGGATTTGTTATGCTGTTAAAATTGGAATGAGCTCCATTTAAACTAGTTTTCATCAAGTTACACCCCATTATCTGGGATTTGACACAAGAGTTGATCCGGGCAGAGGAAAGGTGAAGGGTGGGTGTTTTGTTGCAGTCAATCGAATCCATGTTATTTTCCAGAGGTGGAGGTCGTATCAGTTCAACCGTAACCGTGCTCTTGGAACCAGCTGACCCCACACATGTTTCGGAACATTCACAAAAGCGGCTTTCAAACAGGGCATGCCTTGAACCACTCTGGGCGCTCAAGGTTTGTGTTTGATGCAACCCCTGCTCAATATGGATCCTTCCATCATTTTTGTGATAATTCAGTGCAGTATGTGCAGTCACATAGGGCAGTAACAAGTGCATCGCTACTAGTAATAGCAAGGTGCCGTACTACTAGTAGCTTGTTACTACTAGTAAGGCACCTTGTTACTAGTAGCAAGAAGCTACTAGTAGCGATGCACCCTGTTACTAGTAGCTTCTTGTTACTAGTAACCTTTGCTGGCTGATCATCTGAAGCAAACGCGACACAGATAATAGGCACAACACGTTTTTGCCTGATCATTCGGCTTGCCTTTGTCGAGGAAGTGTTCCTTTTTTCCCCAACAGTTTGGGTGAACCGCTGACATGGGCCGCCAAGTCGTTTGCCAAGTCCTTCCTTCGAGCAAGGATGTGAGTTTGAGGCGGCCCATGAAAGACAGCATGGGTCGCCAACACTGAAGACTGAGAGTCCTTTGAGATGCCGCTGGCCAGTGCAGAATTGGCGGAGGGCCGAGCTCAGAGGTCAAATGTTGCCAAATGTTGCATCGATTCTGCAAGTTGCTGAAAAAGAGCTCGGTGCTCGCAGGGCATCTTCACAGATTGAGTAGAGGTGGACGTGTCAATTTTGCGCACCCCCCCCGGACCAAACAAGCATAATGGAGATTTACGACGATGGTTTGGAGAGACCAAACCCGAACTTGCTTTTGAATTAGATGTGAAGCGAAGATCTTCACGAGTGGCAGCGCTCGTTCTTGTGTTTTAGAATGTTGCGACATGGTGTCAGGGACATTTCTCAAGGACCTCCATCTTTACTTGCATGGGCCACCTTAAACATTTGGCACTGCTCGAGATTTGGGGACATCACTTCAGTGGTACACGGGGATGAAGGAGGACATTCTGTGCAAACTTTTGCATCCGATCCAATATATTTCAACCAAATGTCGCTTTTCCTTTGCAAGCACCAATAACATTCAATATGCTTGCATCTCCAGTGTTAGAGATGGAGTTTTGCTGCAAGAAGAGCCAGAAATCCTAAGCATCAAGCTCTGCCTTTGGAGAACTTGGTGAACTTTGTAGGATTTGCACGTTCCAGTTCAGAAACTGTGCGCTGGTGTGTTGATTAAAGTGGTGCGGCCGTTGCGTTATGAAGTCTCCGACCATGTAACCCAGTGTGAGCTCCGCTTCAGTATGGCATGAGCTGAGCTTAGTCATGTAAGTCAACTGTTTACCAAGCAGCACTACAGCTGCGCTTAATGTGTTGGTGCAATGCTTGTAAATACAAAGGGCAATGGCGCTGGAAGGTCTTCCATCCTTGCTGCAGGTAGACAAGAAGGCTCAGCGTGGCCCATCTCGGAGGTGGGCCAGTGCCTTGTGTATCTTTATGTGTGAAGCCCAAGTGGACTATTCTAGGATTTCGTTAGACATTGCAAGACCCTATCGTTTACGTTCTTTACATGTCTTTACTACCCCACGACCCCTAATGCTAAATATGGTTGTTCACAACAATCCCCCAGTGAAGCTGATCTGAAAAGGTTAAGTTATGATGTACTCATTTGATGACATTCCTGTCAAAGCCAACTGTGGCTCGAGCTTTGTTTGGTTAGCCGCCTAGAGAAGGAGGCCAGAGTCCGGAGAGGGCAGGACTTCATACTTCGGCTAGAAGCTGTCTCTTAAACACAGCAACGCTTTCAATTGAACATAATTTATGATGACCGGGACCAGACTCCGACTCCGGCTCGATGTTCGGTTTGGGCACTGTGCCTTTGAGAGTGTCGAAAGATGGACCCCTGCAATGCAAATCCTCCAACACGCACATATTGAGGGCAGCGAACAAGCACCATGCACAGCAGTTTCTTTCCCGTGCAGGGGATTCAATCGGTTGTGATCATCCAGTGAAGATTTTCCAACAGCAACAAATACTATACAATCACAACGAAATACAACAATTGTCCTGCACCCTTCTGGGATCTGCAGAAGAACCTGACACGATTGTGGAAGTTGTTCGCCATGCAGCTCGCTTTGTGAAATCCATGGGATCTTGCATTGAAACACCATGCAATAAGGTGCTTCAACAGTGCTTGAATACATAATGAACAGCAAATGGTGCTGTTGGGAGTTTGAGCATATTTATACCTTTAAAACACATAGCCAGAGAGTTTGCACAATGGCAGCGACCTGCTTTTTGCAGGTGTGAAAGAAACTGTGACAAGAAGGAAAATACAAGGTGCTTGAGGTCACCGTCGGATTGATAGCGTGAAAGTGGGTTGCAAGTCGCGTAGGTCTGTTGTGGATCGTTTTCTTGAATATAGGAATTTTAATATGCCTCCAATTTTTTTTTGACAAAACATTGTAATTTGGAGGGTGATTCTCTCCCCTTGGCCCTTGGCCATGGTTCTTGTAGATTGGCTAGTATGCAGGTGTCGGAGGATCACGTGATGTGGTTTGGGAGGTTGGAGAAAGTCTTTGCAAGGAGGCCATCGCTATTAGGTGGAGGCCATCGCTAGTAGGTTGGAGGCCGTTGCTATTAGAAACAAAGAAAAGAAGGCACTACCATTTGAACTGGCAACCCTCAAGTCCATTTTAGTGTGACCGTGTGACCCCAATCAACGAGTCTTCCAGCGCGGTAGACCACGGGAGAGCAAGCTCCGTAAGCTCTTTCCTCGTTTCACGTAAGCTCCAAGACGATTGGGAATCCGATCCAGGAGACCAGATGATGATGATGGTTGTGGATCAAGGTACACTGACTTGACCGCAGTCTGGACCTGTTTGGAGCCAGACTTGTGCTTTGTTTGTTGCGGTTTCCCTGCTATGAAAAAGAGACGCAGGGATTATATAGTTGTCATGAGTCCATATGAGTCCAAGGTCTTGACTTTTATCTACGGTGTAAGAGTTATATATATATTACACGTGATCTATTTTATATTATATATGATAAGTATACCAACACTTTTGCTGATACCATGCTGCTGAGCAAGCATTTTGTAGCAGGTGTGTGTTACGTGCCAGTTTCGGTTCTGGTGCCCGTTGAGTTTGTGCCTACAGGCAAGGATGGTGGAAGGGTGGAGCCGGGCTTTGGGTTGAAACGTATGGTGCATCAGCGCAGTGGGGGCCATCAACTCATACATCAAGAGTTAGCGTCGTAGTTAGATGGAGAGCATGCCTGGATTTTTTAAACACCATTTCTTGGGTGATTGTACACGTGATCCGCGGAGAGCCAAGTTCTTGATGACCATTGAAAAGAGTCGGATAGAGTATTGCCTGGACTAATCTGTTGGCAGTGGTCTCAGGAGTGTGGCGGTTCCCTTGACAGGTGGCATGCCACCTGTGCAGACGACACGCGTGGAGAGCGACCTAAGCTGGTTGCCCTAAGGGAAGGGGAGGGTTTATCGACACTTTCAACAACTATATAGGAGAGAACAAAGTTGCAGGAACGGACCAATTAGTAGCGTCCTTGTTCCTAGTAGTACGGCCAGGAGCCCCTAGAAGCGTCCTTGCTCCTAACATAAATAAATGGGAAAGAACATAACCAGGTTCCTGAAGACTTGACTGAAACTGAAAGGTCGATGCTATGCAATGATACTGAAGGTGAGGGTTGTGATCATGCAAAGCCCTTGCCTGAGGCGATCAGGAGGCCAGTCCTGGGCGCGTGGTGCTGGAGTTTAACTTGGGTTGCAGCTTCGCAAGGGGTGCAACCATTCAACATGTTTGCTAGATTCCTTAGCAACATGGCCACCAGCTAGAGTTTCTTCCCAGTAGTACGTTTTGGCGAATATAACAAAAGATGAGGAGAAAGATGTGTTGTTTGATGATGCGACAGGGATGTTTTGCCATGTAACATGATCTAGGAGTCATTCAGATGTCAACAAAGCGAGTAGGGAGACACTTGATCTCGTCTCCAAATACCTGTTGTGTCACCACTTGCGACGTCTACAATCACTGCGCGCCAAAGCTAACCTGAATGTTTGTGCATTCAGTTCTCAGCTGGCTGCCGATTTGTAGATTTGTGGCAGTGTCATGCCGGAGTTTGTGCACTCCGTTTCAAGCTTAGTTTTTGCCCGTACAGGTGCAAATGCTATGCAAATCCGTCGGAATGAAGAATATCGGCGCGGGGCCACGTCTCGAACTTTGGGCAAGTGATCAACCTGATCAACCTTCTTATAACAAAACACTCTTGTACCCTCTGAGTAGCTGGTGGAAGTTGCTGATGGTACCCCACAGATCCATTCCATTTCCCCCTGCTTTAGGGGCTTCATTCCACAACTTTCAGTGCTTTGACAAACTGCATTTTTGCAAAGATTGGAGCCTTTGAGGTCCGTACTGGATCCGCAAACAAATCGCCGAAATTTTGTGGATGGAGGCGAGTTTCATTTCACTATATATATACACGGTACATATACATACATCTTGGAATCAGGTGACTCTCTTTCTACTCATGGCCATGGTAAAGCCTTTGGGTTTGTCACATCCAATTTCAATTTGAGTCCTTTTACTTCCTTGTTTCGTTCCGCTCGAATAAGACCTCAGCTTCTTACATTTTGCACTTAGTGTACCGCGGTCCAGCGCTCTACATCTCTCTTTCAACAGGTACGGGCCATCAGAACTTTGATTTGGGGCGAGTTGCATCTTCAAAACTCCCCGGATCTTGGCTGCTTGGCACAAGTGCTGCCAGTGAGTATATGTGGGCGTGATTTTCCGTTTAGAGACTCACCACTCACCCTCCCTTCTCAGAAGAGTTCCATCTAAGCTGAAGTGGATACTTCTCGTGAGGTAGATCCCTCCAGTCAACCGACTCAGCGGGGATTTCACGAGTTTTACTTTTTCTGGGTTGAACTACGGGTTTCTGGATCTTATGAATTCAGGGACTGATGTTTACAATTCAATGGTCTTAACGGTAGAATGTACTGAATGGGGAACAGGTCGGAACAGGAGTAGGAAAGCACATTGGATCATGTCTCGGGGCCTGCATGACTTAGGAAAAGAGGAGAAAAAGACTGTGACCATCGCAGTCCGAGATTGGGTGATCACAAGCTTGTGGTCCGCATGGACCCGACGCCGTGTGGCAAGTCATCTGAATTCACACATCAGGCAGAGTTGCCACTAAGAAACTAGATACTGTACAATGCTGTATATATATATATACATTTATAGATCGGAGAAGCTATCTCACATTGCTGGTGCGTAGCATTGACAGCTTGCAGGATCGGGCCAGTGGAGAAAAGACTCCAGGCAGCGAAAAGACAAGAAACCCTGTCATGGATCCTTGAAAGGTGCGCCAGCACATTTTTCCTTGTTGCCGTGTTGCTGCTTCCCATGTTTTGTTCACATAGGACAGGAGATCGATTATCACCTGTCATTATAAAACACGAACCTGAGCTGAACTTAGCCAGTTCAGGGTCGACTCAGTGTCGACCCACAACTTGCCAGGTTGGTTTTCTTCGACAGCGACTTGGACGCAAAGGAAGCGGTTGGATTTTCATGTTCGATCCTAGGCTCCGATAGGAAAAGGTTACATGGTTGGCTGTCTTACATTTTCTTGTTTGAAGGCTCTTCCTAAATGTTTTTATCTATATATGTACCTACTGTAGTATACATTATAGAGTAGTGATGGGACCTACCCAAGTCATAGCATTGAACTGAATCGTTCATTCTTCAGTTCAGAGGATCCTAACACATCTATCACCTGGGTCGACCTCAGGTGCACGAGAGGTCGCGCAGCCCTGTATCTCGCGGCTGTTCGGAGGGCTGAGAAAAGCCGGGGGTCCTACCTGAGAGCACGATCACAACAGGAAGAGTGGGTAGACCGCATGAAGAAACACGCCCGGAGCTATTGTCCCGGCACCTCAAGGGTTGTTGGTCTCAACAGAAAGTATCTACTTGACAAAGACATGTCTGGCAGCTGCTGCTCGCAGTTTCACGATCCCATCACGTATCCCCTGAGGCCTTGAAAAAAAATGTGGCGGCTTGGTTGATGGGAAAGCACCTAGCAGTCCAAGGAGGGCCTTTTGAATTTATATCTATGTTGTGTCACGCATTGTCATGCCTCGTCCACGTTGTAGTCAATGTCACTAGAAGTCACCAGGCGGTGAGAAAAAACTGAGCTATGAATGGTGAAAACAATGAAAACACTTAGGCAACCAACTTGGATCCTACAAGTAGTGTCGCCATATTGAGAAATGCACTAGGGAATTATGCCACAACAAGATAATACCCCGGCTCTCAGTAAATACTTTGGACAGTTTCCGACGTTTCCGGCCCGATTTTGCTCGGGGCTTCAAGGCCAGCTTGCGAGGGTCTCAAACTTGGGAGGGGGTTTTGATCAAGCGCCAAATCGCTCCCCCCATTTGTCCATTTTTACACAATGCGGGGCTCAGGAAGGTCGACACGACACCAGCTTCAACAAGTATATGTTTTTTTTTTGAATTTGGGACATTTTGACCGAGCGGTGCCCAATGTTGTGGCTGTTTGACAATATTGGCGGTGGACCAATCCCAAGCCATGGAGTACCACAGTCTACGAAACCAACCGTGCGAGAGGATTTTGGACACTTTCAGAACATGCGCCTGCTATTGACTACATAGTCCTTGTGTTCCACATGACACGCTTCTATACTCCTCATCTGGGTACGGGGCCATTGGGGCAACATCGATCAAAAGAGCGCCATTGAGCAGATCCCAATGCCACGGAGGTTGTGAAATCTTGTAGTTTGGCCAGATGCCGTGAAGCAGTGAAGTGAGCCGGCTCTTTATTTTCGTGTGCTTCATGCTAAAGCCTATCGTACCAAGGATGGGGAGGTGCCGCAGGTGCATCCCCGATTGGAGGCCGAGTCTAGCACCTGAAGTTGTTGCTGCCCCTTGTCCATCCAGATCACCAGCCTGCATCCACCTCCGCCCTTTTCAGGCATATGTTCAGCAATTTCTTCAAATGCAGGCACCTGCAAGAACGTTTTGCATGGCACATTTGACTGGCCGGCTGAATCCATGCCCAGATCCCCACGTGCTCAGCTTGACATGTTTTGTCAGGATTATGCAGCATTGAAGAAGGCATTATTAATCCAGAGTGTCATGCGGATGCGTGGATCGAGCATCTTGGCAGAGATTGGAAGGGACATGGGACCTGATTGCAGGCTCTTGGTCACACACACACACACATATACAAGTCTCACTTGGCATGAGAAACTGCTTCCCTCAAGCTAAGGCACTGACAAAGGGAAAATCCTACATTTCCTGTGGCGTCCTCAGGATTGATGACATGGTCACGTCGGCCTAGGGGGTGTGTACCTTTCCTGATGTGTCACATAGCCCGATTTCTTGGCTTTCTTATTTGTTCGACGACTTGTTGAGAGGAAGGGACGAATCTCAGGGCGGCTCCTCGCCAAACACCTTTCCATTTTTTCTCCTGATGCTTGAATTGAGATCCCTCTCTTTGTTTAGGATCTTTGGATCCCTCATCTTGAGACAAAGTAGCCGAAACATGCCGAAACGCAGGCACAACGAAACGCCGCCAGATTGCGTCGGTCTTTTCTCATTGGCCTCGAGACCTCCAGCGACTCTCAGGTGTGACTGGTCCGCAAGGGTTCTATTGACCCGAGAGCCAGCGCCCCAGCAAGTGTGTGCTAGTGTGTGTGCTTTTTTCATCGTTTTTCAATAATTACGGTAGACAACGCTACTTCTTCTCTAAGTTGGTCACTCCAGTACAGTATATACATTACAGTGTATAGTATATTGCTTGTACCGATCTGGACTGTATACTTGGTCATTCTGAACCTTGTGGTGCAGTCCCAACTAGTGGGTTCTGTTGGGCATCTGACTTCAACTCATGTCCCTTTCGAATCAGTTTCGAAGCAAGTTCATTCCAAAATTTAACTTAAACTTAAACACAGATTGAGCAGGCGGAGGCGGGTGAGCTAGAGGGGTCCCCAGTCTTGGGTACACACATGGATCTAAGCTGGAAGCTCTCCCCTCATAGCAGCGTCATCTCAGGCGCGTCAAGTTTCTTTCAAACGGCTTCCACACCGTGAAGGAACGGTTGCAAAGGAAATGGCCAAAGGCTGGCCGCCCACGTTCTACTCAGTGTGGAGCTCTCCATTGAACACGCCTGTTGTAATCTTTTCTTTAGGGCTTCGCTTCGCTTGACCTCGACTGTGGATAGATTTGAATGCCCGCAAGTGAAACCATGTCCAGGTGGCGGTGGGGCGGGTCTGGAATCAGCTCCAACCCAACATCGGAACCTATCAAAGAAGGTTGGAGGAGACTCCGGAGCCTCTCAACACCCTGAATGTGCGAAAGAAACGCAGCACTTTGTTGGAACTTAGGGAATCTCCCAGTCCCGACATGAATCAGACAGGATAGAACATCTTGAGAAGCCAACCTCATTTCGACTTGAGATGCAGCCCTGGTTTTTACTGTATGCTCTGCAGCAATTCAGTTGTGATGTGTGAAACTGTATGACTCAGAACATTCCATGGAGTGCATTTTGATCCGGTCAAGTCACCAGCCACTACCAGCAGATGGTGCCAGGAGCTGACCTTCAGACACACAGACAAGATCGTTGCCCAGGGCCCAGACCGGGAATTCAAGCTGCACTGCAGTTGCTTGGAGTTTTATGACTTCTGAAAGAAGATAAAGTGTTGAAATTCCTCTCACCCCTATGGACCCCGTAGCGTGTACTCTCAAGGGTAGAGTAAAAAGGATGCTTAACGGCTAGACAGGGTTAGTTAGGAAACCAAGCTGATCCTGTAAAATACAGGTTATCAGCCGTAGGCTAGCAAGTTTAGAGCTATGGACCCGATGGATGACGACACAGCACCGAACTCGTACGGAAATGGCTTTGACATTATTCCGAGTGTACCCAATAGTGTGGACGCAGTTCAGCGACATGAAAGGGCTGTCGCACAAGTTGCTGCAATGGACCCAAGGGTAGCCTCGGAGGTGTACCAAGAGATGCTAAACAGTGGTGGTAGTGTTACTCTTCAAGAGGCGGCACAAGCTACCCTAGCAGGTATGCCGTCAGCCGCCGTAGCTGGTGCGCCAACAGTAAACAACTTGTTGGCAATGACCCGGTTCAATGTCGTCAACCTCAACACTACGCCAGGTGACGAGGAACTACGACGGGAGTTACAACAACATGAGTTGTTGCTCAACGAGCAAGCTAGGCGAGAAGCAGATCTGAATCGATAGCAGCGACGAAGGCCGCGGCGGAGCAGGCAATGCTGAATTTGCAGCGAAGAGCTCAACTACAAGAACACAACGTGCAACAGTTGGCTCAACATCAAGATAATTTGGCAATCAGAAGACTACAAACCACACTTGAAGAACAACGTGAGCACTTTCAGCAAAGATTAGCTCAGGCCACGTCTGCTAATGAGAGGATTCAGCAGGAAAAGGGTACCTTGGAGGAAGAAACCAACGCTTTTGTCGAGAGAATGCGAACTGAACATCAGCAATACACGCAACAACAAGAAGCAAAGTTGAAGGCAGCAGTGGAGGCAACAGACAAAGCTCGATTCAATTCAGCCGAGGAAGCACGTGTTGCTATAGACCTTGACTTCAAGCGTGAGGAGTTGTCCAGTTCATTGGCAATTGCGCAAGCAAAGATTAAATCATTGCTTGGTGAAATGGAGGCGACTAAGTCGCAACATGCGGTTGACCGCGAAACCCAGGATCAAACGATCAGTGAACTTCGCAAAGACAATGTAGCATTGAAGGGTGAAATGGATGAACTTAGACGTGTTGTTCAGGCCTTGTCGGACAAGGAGGAGGAGCGCAAGGAAGCTGAGCGCAAAGTTCAGGCCGCTAGCCCAATTAAACCAGGGCCACAGCAACCAGAACAACCTCCACCTCCTGTTCAACCGAATGTTCATCCCGTTGGTCAACCTCGTTCCTTTGAACCTCTTCGTACAGAAGGCACAGTTCCTGCAACCTTAGGAGGTTCGCCCATAGACCCAGCCGGAATTCCTATGAAGACAGCGATGGATGCTTCTGCAACAAATCGCAACACAGGATTTCCTTCAATGTTCTCTGGGACAGGGGCGAAGTCAAATGAACAGGCAACAGCCTCAACCGATGGGCAACAGTTCAAACAACCTGATCCGTGGATGGATTACAAGATGAAGTCGGCACAGTACAACTTCAGCGATGATCCACTGTACAAAAGCTCCTTTAATCAGGATGCAGCGCAGAAAAAGGATGATCGCAAGGATGAAGGGCCGGCATCTCAGGTGAGAACTCCGCAAGATCAGGATTTAGGGGAAATCATCAGAAGGGCATTGCTAGAAGGGTTTAAGGGCGCTAAAAGCAAAGATTCCGACAAACCCAAGGCAAAAGAGGCCGATAAGATAGATCTCCCTGAACTCCCGAGTCCTGACAGGTACCGCACTTGGAGGGCCGCTGTTCGCGAAGCGATACGGTCCGCGTCCGACGACCCAGATGCTGCGTTTGCATGGGTGCTTGAGGTGTACGCCGTTCGGGAGGACAAAGCAAAGCTTTGTTCCGAACTCGCTGACCCAGGCAAGTTTCGGACCTTAGACACGAAACTCCTTGCTGCTTTGACTAAGGTTGCCAAAGGCGAACTGTCTCAGCAAATCCTTAATTACAAGGAATCTGAGGCACAGCAGGGTAGGATCGTTCGTGGTCGTCAGGTTTTGCTCATGTTTGAAGTCCACTTCAAGACCAGTGAAGAAGCGGGTGCACTATATGGTACGGAAGACCTCCTGAAGATCTCGCTTGACAGCGATGACTTGAAATCCTTTCTAAGGAAATGGGAGAGTGTGTTGACCGGAATGAGCCATGTCCCGGACCCGGCAACCCTAAAAGACTTGTTCTATAGAGAGGTCAGGAAGTCCCGTAAACTCAGATTTGACCTGGATGTTTATGAACGGGCAGCGGAAGGGAGTAGTGTTTATGAATTCCTCATTAATTCTGTTCGACGATATCTTGACCGTGAAAGGCTAAGGACCAATCGTGAGAAGATCTCACAATCGCATGCTGCTAAGTACGCAAATCCGGCACCACACGACAAGCGCACGCGAAGCCCAAGTTATGGCAAGAGGAGCACAAAGGGTGACGGGAGCAATCAATGCTATGAGTTCGCCAAAACTGGCAAGTGCAAGTACGGGAGCAAATGCAAATACTCGCACGGCTCTAGTACCCGTCCCCGCTCCCTTAGCCGGGAGTCGTCACGATCGCGACGCGCAAGTTCGAGTGGTCGATCCTCTTTTAGGTCAAGCCGTTCACGAAGCTCGTCAAGAATGTCCTCCCGCAATAGTTCGAGGAACTCATCCAGAAGCTCAAGTAGGGGCAAGAAATCTGAGAAACCGTGCAGGTTCTTTGCCAAGGGCCACTGCAAGAGGGGTGAAAAGTGTCCATTTAAACATGGTGAAACCGCGACACCGGCCCCGCGCAGAAGAAGTCCATCTCCCGCGGCTAAAAGGTCTAAAGACAAGATATCCAAGAAGGATAAAAAGGACAAGAAGAGCAAACGGGAAAAGAAAGAGAAAAGCCCAAAGGCCAGTCCATGTATTCAAACAGGTTTCGCAATGTCTTGCTTAGCAGCAACCGCCACTCGGAACCACAAGAGTAAAGACTACTGGGAATTCTCCAAAGATGGCACCGAATTGATTAGGCACCATTTAAAGCCAAGGAACAGGTTGTTTCTCCCAACACGTAAATCCTGTCCAGTGGAGTCATCTAGGTTGGAAAACCGGTTTACCATGGTGGTCAAAGACTCAAAGGGGAAGAGTAGGACTCTTAAGGGTGATTGGAAGAAACACCCAAACGCGAAACAAGGGTTCGACTGGACTGGGAAGTCGATTTTCCGTGTTGTGCAAGACAAGCGAATTCGTTTTGAATTCAAGCCTGAGGTACACACCTTTCCTGTTTGGAAGGAAATGTACCGGCATGTAGTAAATAAGAGCAAACGACGGAACCTGTTCCGGACCACTGAGGAATGTCCAAAGTCCCGCGAGTGTGACACTAAGGACGCCACTTTGGCAGCGGAGTCGCTTAGGCAGATGCTCGATTCGATGGATACCGAGGAGCCTGCGTGCGATTTCCTTTGTGAACATTCCCCAGAAGGCCCCGATGATTTGTGCTGCGCAAAGTGTAGGACGGTCATCGGTGAACAGGTACCTTCATGTGCTCGCTTAACAGCGATGCCTAGCACAGTTGGGATGGAGAAGTGGCTGGGCGATACCGGGACTGATCAGGACATCGTAGGCAAGGACTCAAAGACAGTCAGCCGAGCCACTAAAATCTTCAAATCCAATGAGTCAATATCCCTCACTACCGCTAATGGACCAATCACAGCTGAAGATGTAGTTGAGGTGATACTCCCGGGGTTATGTGAATCCTTCAATCTATATATTCTGCAAAGCACTCCCTCTGCACTCTCAATCGGTTTGAGATGCTTAGAACAGGGATATGATTTTGTTTGGGGAAAGGACACTACACCAATTTTCCTCCGACCTGATGGGAAACGCGTGAAATTTAAATTGCAGGGCAGGGTTCCATACATTGATGAGACTTGCACCCCATTCTCAATCCCTGAATCACTCAGGATGAGACTTACTAAGGTGCTCGACTCCATCCACCAGTTCACCATCGACCAGGGCTTTGCTATGGCCAGCCGAGAGTCCGAACCCGAGAATGAACAGGAAGAGGAAGACGAGGCTGGCGTAGCTGCCAATGCCGATGAGGAACAGGAGGATGAAGAAGAGAGTGACCCAGAGGTTGAAGTCCCTTTTGACTTTGAAGATGTTCCCGTAGCAGGGGAAAAGACCGAAGAACAACTTCGTAAAGAAGCAAAGTCAGGGGCGCACCAGTTCACTCATCGACCAAAGAACCCCTACTGCGATATTTGTAGCGAAGCTAAAATGCTTGCACACTGCGGTAGAAGCGTAGGCGGATCACAACACGTGTTGGCCAGTGGTTTTGGAGATCACATTGTTTGTGACCACGTGATTCCCAAGGATATTGAAGAGGGGATAGAAGGCCAAACCTCGATGTTGGTGATCAAGGATGTGTATACTCAATACCGCTGTGTTTACCCTTCAGAGAACAAAACGGCCGATTCCATAGTGAGGGCCTTTAAGCATTTTCTGAAGACTTCTGACATTGTTGGTATAGTGTACACTGACAACGCTCCAGAAATGCTGGACGCCATTGAAGAGCTCGGTTTTAAGCACCAGACTTCTGTTGAGTACCAACATTCAACCAAGGCGGTTGTTGAGCGAGAGGTCCGTACCATTTTGGAAGGGGCGCGCTCCAACCTCCTTCAGGCGAATCCGCCATGGACACTGCGTTTTGACAACGGTTTTCTTGGTAGGCAACTTCCCTTTGGATGCCTTCTATTCTTTTGGGAAGGGAAGTACGAGCCAAAAAGAGGAAAGTTTGCCCCCAATGCCAAGAGGGGTGTGTTCTTAGGGTACAACATTCAGGCCGGACATGTTTGGAGGGGAGAGTATTTGGTTGCCAATGTTGATAGTCTGGAATACTTCTTAAAAGAAGGACATCTCAAAACGATTAGAACCAAACGAGTGGCTCTTCCCGATGGA